GCCTGGCCTAACCTAACCTAACCTAACCTGGCCTAACCTAACCTGGCCTAACCTGGCCTGGCCTGGCCTAACCTGGCCTGGCCTGGCCTAACCTAACCTAACCTAACCTGGCCTGGCCTAACCTGGCCTGGCCTGGCCTAACCTGGCCTAACCTGGCCTGGCCTGGCCTAACCTAACCTAACCTAACCTAACCTAACCTAACCTAACCTAACCTAACCTAACCTAACCTAACCTAACCTAACCTAACCTAACCTAACCTAACATAACCTAACCTACTAACCTAACCTAACCTAACCTAACCTAACCTAACCTAACCTAACCTAACCTAACCTAACCTAACCTAACCTAACCTAACCTAACCTAACCTAACCTAACCTAACCTAACCTAACCTAACCTAACCTAACCTTTTTTTTTTTTTTTTTTTTTTTTTTTTTTACATGTGGAAAATGCGTCATGCAGAGACACACCCCCGGGGGAGGGTGTGAATACTGCCGGACTCCTACCGGCTAAAAACCACATGGCATTCCCTCGCCGCGCCTTAATGTTGGGGACCCGGGTTCCCTTGCGTAATCCACCGGGATCCCCAACGGCATTGGCCCGCACCGGCTCGCGGGCCCCGACTCAGTTTGGGGCGGGTACGAGATGTTGAATACCCACCCCCATCTAGGGGAAGCGCGCGGGGATGCGCGCGCGACTTCCCAGGGCCATGTTGGTGTGGGGTGGGACTGCCCCCGCAGTCGTCACCCCGGCCCTGTGGCGATGTAATTATCGCCGGAGAGGAGGGCGGGACTACCTGCCCGTTTCCATCTCCTCTCCCTCCACACTCACCCGGCCTGCTGGGTTCGGCAATTTCACCGGTTGCTTCTTACGCTTCTTAGGAGGAGTGCAGGCCTTGGACCCCACCCAATGGTCCGACGGCCGGCCCTGCGCTGAACACACAGCGCACTTTGGGTCGGCCGCGCACATCGCCGCCTTATGGCCTTCGTTTCCGCAGCGGTAACATAGACCGCTGCGGTCCTGCTCAAGACTGCAGGATGCCCGCACATGTCCTTCCTCCAAGCAGCGGAAGCACCGAAGCGGCCTCTGCCGCAGGAGCTCTGCTTTCGCCGAAACCCAGCCTATACGAACTCGGCCGGCGACCGTCATCTTCTTAACTGCTTGCAATGGAGCTTTAACCCAGCAAGTGCCCACCCCAGATCTAGTACGTCGAACCTCTCCGACTCGCACTTGGTCCACCTGACAGCCGCCCTCCCGGGCAACCGCAGCGGCCACTTCCTCCGACGTAACACTGTCGTCCAGGCCCGATATCCGCATCTCCGCGGACTTTACGGGCCTGGAGATTTTGGCCATATTCTCCGGGATGAACTCCCGGAGCTTCGACGCCAGAACGTCGGCCTTCTCCGCGCCATCAGCACCTGGAACCTCTAAAACCTTACCGCCGGTGATCGCGGTGCGAAACCGCATATCTTCAATCCCCAATGCGCGGAGATCAATCCTTCTCTTGGCCTCCGCAAGGACATTCGCATACGCGACACCCTCCCTTTCCGCCTCCGGGTCCAACGTAATAATAACCGCCGCGGAGCGAGGCGGTTTCAGTTTAGAAGGCGAGGGTGCGCTCGTCTTCTTTGCCTTCTTCGAGGGGGCCGAACCGGCTTTCGTCACCGGAGGGTTGACAGCCACAGGCTGCCCTTCGGGGACACTGACGGTCTTGCCCCGTTTTCCTTTAACGACCGTCGCCCAGGTGGACGCGGTCGGCTGCACAGACGTTTGAGCGGAGGTCGAAGCCACCGGCTCGGGCTGTCCAGAGGGCGCCAGTGAGACGGGCGTCTTCTTCGCCTTCTTCTTCTTGGCCCGACCCGTTTCTGACTGGGGAACAGAACCCCGGTCGCCGACTCTAGGGGTGTCGGGCACATCTGACGCCATTGTCGCGGCCTCGGGCAAAGTTTGCGTGGAGGCCGCAGACGAGGACGACACCTTCTCTGGAGGGGGGCGAATGGAAATCATTTCTCTCACCTCTTTCATAAATGTCCCTACCATTTGGCGGACGATGCCGCCGACGTCTCTCATTATTTGAGCACGGAATGCGCTCGCATCACTTCCTACAACAGGAACACCGTCTGCCGAGATACCGGCCTGGGCCGCTGGCTTGGCAGCTGGCTTGGCAGCACGAGCCTCGGCCAACTGCCGACGCAGGTACTCGACTTCCTGCTCAAGTCTCAGGTTCTTTGAGACCAGTGGAGAGACCGACGTCGGAAATAGATCCCCCTCCAAGGTGTCCACAACCTGTGTGATCCCGGCCAAACCCTCTTTCAGGGTCCTTATGGTGGTCCCTTTGAGATTTCCCGCCTTCTTAACGACGTCGCTAAGAGCATCCGCTTGCCGATGGACGAGAAGTTTCGCCCTATGGAGTACCTCCTCCGCCACTTTGTTCTTGTCACCAGCGGCAGCGGTGGTAGTGGCGCCAGATGCCGTCGGCCTGTCCAGCTCCGTCGGTTTGTCTGGCTCCTCATCTCCGGAAGAAAAGAAATCACTCTCGTGATAATCTAAGACCGTCACTGGGGGCAGACCAGATTTGCCAGCGGCTGTCCCTTCATCTTCGAAAAATCGGTATGTGAATTGCCGACACTCCTCCTTCTTTCTAGCGATCGAACTGGCTTTCGATCCCACTCTAGGGCTGCCGGACCTTTTGCGGACGGATTGGACATCGCCCTCATCCTCGACCGTGGAGTCCGTATCGGACTCGTTAAGACGCCTTTTGCGCCAGGAGCGTAGTCCAGATGTGGACGGCAACTGCTCCGTCTCCATGCCTTCATCAATTGGGGATGCGCACAAGCTCGACCGCGAAGACCCGCAGTCGGACTCGCCCGCAGCCGCCCTCAACAAGCTGTGACGAGTGCGACGGCGACCTAACTCCACAACATCCTCGCCCAGTACAACGGAGCACTCTTTCAGAACCTCCACTTCCGACTTCTTTTTACTAACACCGCCCTTCACGGGCACCGACTTCTCTCCGCCCTTCGCGGGCACCGACTTCTCACCGTCCTTCTCGGACACGACATCAATTTTGGGTTTTGTGTTTGACATATCCATACTTGTTCCCACGAGTATGGGGGAAAGGTTTCACACGCAGGGGAGCCCCCTGCTTCTGCGTGCGGCCTACATACAACGGGGTGCGGCAGATACCCCGAGGTTGGTGCCCTTGCGGCCGATGATACTCCACCGACCCGCCCGCGGTACAGAACACGCTAACCGAACTTATGATGTCCGGTAGCGTGCACCGCACAACGAACTATGCATCGCCAGGCACCGAAGCTTACACAAGAGGATTTTTATAGAGGTTTACTCCTCGCGGCCCAGGCGATTAAGCCAAGGCCCCCGTCCCCTCACTCCGGTGCGAAACATGACCACACCTTCGCGAGGGATTACGGTTTTTCGGCGGTGGCACTGAAACCAGCCCGATTGCGCAACGAAGCACTCACCGGGCCCGCCGACAACTCCCACTACGAGAAGTCGCGGAACAAAACCCGCCCCCAACGAAAACACGACAAACCCCATAACTTGGGCTCGCCGCTCACCACCTCTGTCGGAATATTAGCCGTCGGTAAGTGAGATCTCTACAGCGAGAAGTCACTTACCGCCGTTGCCCAGGATGCACCAGGCCCCAGCCATTGTCAGCCACCGTTCCCGCCGGACGTATCCGCACCAGGACAAGTGACCGTACAATGAGCCAGGGCACTCTTGGAGGTTTTCCGACCCAGCACCCCAACCTAACCTAACCTAACCTAACCTAACCTAACCTAACCTAACCTAACCTAACCTAACCTAACCTAACCTAACCTAACCTAACCTAACCTAACCTAACCTAACCTAACCTAACCTAACCTAACCTAACCTAACCTAACCTAACCTAACCTAACCTAACCTAACCTAACCTAACCTAACCTAACCTAACCTAACCTAACCTAACCTAACCTAACCTAACCTAACCTAACCTAACCTAACCTAACCTAACCTAACCTAACCTAACCTAACCTAACCTAACCTAACCTAACCTAACCTAACCTAACCTAACCTAACCTAACCTAACCTAACCTAACCTAACCTGACCTAACCTAACCTAACCTAACCTAACCTAACCTGGCCTGGCCTAACCTGGCCTGGCCTAACCTGGCCTAACCTAACCTAACCTAACCTAACCTAACCTAACCTAACCTAACCTAACCTAACCTAACCTAACCTAACCTAACCTAACCTAACCTAACCTAACCTAACCTTACCTAACCTAACCTAACCTAACCTAACCTAACCTAACCTAACCTAACCTAACCTAACCTAACCTAACCTAACCTAACCTAACCTAACCTAACCTAACCTAACCTAACCTAACCTAACCTAACCTAACCTAACCTAACCTAACCTAACCTAACCTAACCTAACCTAACCTAAACCGTAGGTCAGAAATGGCCCCTTAGAGATATAATGCGTGCTGAGGAATGAAAATGATATCGCGGTGTAGATTGCTTAGGGCGCCATCTATTGTGTAGCGGTGGGAATTATGAAATCTTAATTGGATTCCTGCATTACCTGTCCATGTGTTTGTTGTCTTGTTCATCGTCGGCCTTGGTATCTTTGGCGGTGATGGTGAATGGGGTGGATGGAAAGGAGTTGAAATTTTTTTTTTTTTTTTTTTTTTTTTTTTTTTTTTTTTTAATTAACACGTCTATCTATTATTAACATTGGGTACTAGTTTATAATATGCTATGAATGCAATGTTTTTTTTTTTTTTCAATTTTTTTTTTTTTTTTTTTTTTATTTTTTATATTGACACTTTAATTAACAATCCCTTCTCCCCTGTGCAGCAGTTATTCATGAGTACTAACGAGATAGGTATTATATTGCTTGTTTCTTCTATATTACTTCGATATTATTTACTCTTGCTATATAATATATAGGTTACAGTGGGCGGCCCGCCGGGCGGCAGACGAAATGAAAGACGAGATTGCTTAAAACAATATGTATAATTTGATTCAATATATTTTTATGTACAACGACGAGAGTGGCGACGAACGGCGTAGCCGCGAGCGGACCAGGCGCGAGCGCGGGCGTGGTCGGCGGCGGCGCGGTCGGCGCGGTTGATGTGACCGGCGTGAGCGGCGTGGCCGGCGCGAGCGGCGCGCGGCGGCGGCGCGGCGTCAGAGAGCCACAACCACGTGCGGCGGCGCGGCCGGCAGCGGCGGCAACTCGGGCTCGTCCAGGTCGAGCGCGGCGTCGATCATCGTGGTGTCGTGCAGCAGCCGCAGCCGCGACGCACTCAGCCCCCCGCCACCGCCGCTGCCGCCACCCGCCGGCGTCGCGGGAGGTACGATGCGGACCTCTGTAGCAAAACGTCCATAATATTTGTATGGTTGGGGGGAAGAAAAGGAATTGTTAGTAATGGGCTCAAATAACTCCATTACTAGCAATATACCCTGGCTAATTCTAGTTGAATTCGTCAGGACGGGCTAACTGACCTGCTTTCATCCTTATTAGTCATCTATCACTGATGCCCTGCCATTGTATACCGATAGCGCAGACGGGATTACTATACCATTATCAACCATAAAAAAAAAAAAAAAAAAAAAAAAAAAAAAAAAAAAAATTATTATTGTAGTTATATAAAAGGCATATTGTGATGGCCAGTAATACGCCACACATACACACACACACATACTATAGTAGTATATACTGCAGTAGACAGTGGAGTGGGTTCCTGACTCGCCAGTGCATTATATATATATATATATATATATATATATATATATATATATATATATATATATATATATATATATATATATATATATATATATATATATAATTTTCCTGTATATTATGTTGATGATGGTTGCGGAGTGCGTACCGTGCAGCGGCACGGGGTCGAGGTCGAGGCTGCGGTTCATGTAGGCGTGGCGCGCCGCCGCCGGCTCGGCCTCGAACAGGTTGGTGTAGCTGCCGCCCGCGCCTGCACCACACACACGCACCGCTCGTCACACACTCGTGCGCCACTCAGTATTCAATATTTAATACTAAACAGAACACCGGTTCAGAGAAATGCGTTATCATGCTTTGCGATTAACTGAACAAAATAAAATATAGATGCACACATTGAAACGACTTCTAACATCGTTAAATATATAAAATAATACGCTGTAGGTACGAGTATAAATAAATATACAGACGGCCGTCACGCAGGGCGAAGGCGTGCGTAGGTTGGGCGACGGCGACGGCGGCTTCAGCGGCAGTGGCGGCGGCGGCGGCGGCGGCGGCGGCCGGCGGCGCGGCGCCGAGCGCGCGCACGAATGTCGGCGGCAGCTCGTCGCGCACGTCGATCGTGAACACGCCGCGCCTGCGAACACAACGCGTCAGTAGGGCGGCGGCGGCAGGCGGCGGACAGTAGGCGGCGGCGGCGGCGGCGGCGGCTCACCTGTCGATGAGGCTGGGCGCGAGCGGGCCGCACAGCACGTGCCAGCAGTTGGCGCAGGCGTTGCCGCGCGAGTACGGGTTCGGGTTGGACACGCCGCGCCGCGTCGAGAACGAGCCCTTGATCTGTTCCCGCAGAGAAGTCGTCATTTGTTTATTTATTCCAGACAATGGTCTACATAATAAATCATTTACGGTAGAAAGTAGCTACGTGAAGCCTATTCGATACAGTGAACGTGTCAGACATGAACTGTGTCGCTTCTGTGCGTCGATGTAAATTTTTAGATGTCGGACGTTACATTAAATTTAGTTAAGTTCTTTTAGTCGCCTCTTACGACACCCACGGGAAAGGAAGTGGTGTACGCGGCAACATGTGTTGTAACATAAATAATTTATAAACTATTGATAATATCATATTAGTCGCATGAGATGACTAATAAGGCATTATCAAAATGTTACTCTTAACTCTGCATTGTTCGCAGCTCGAATGTTAAATGAGCATGTATTGCTGATTACGCATCATATGTAATGTGTGAAGTGTTCGCTCGAGACTCACGTCCTCGTTGGTGGTTTGGTCGGTGGAGGCGAGGTAGGTGTGGAAGCCGGCGAGCCCGAGCACGGACCAGACGGACAGGAAGCAGACGGCGGCCACCAGCGCGGAGGCCGGCGCCCGGCGCAGCGCCGCCGCCAGCCCGGCGCCGCGCGCCTCCAGCGCCAGGTGCGACACGGCGCACGCGAACACGAACACCGCCAGGAACGACAGCGACACCACGAACGTGTAGAAGTAGCGGTAGTTGCGCTTGCCCACGCAGTTGCCCACCCACGGGCAGTGGTGGTCGAAGCGGTCGACGCAGTTGTCGCACAGCGAGCAGTGCGAGGCGCGCGGCGGCCGGAACATCTTGCACGTGAAGCAGTACTTGAGCTTGACGGGCCGGCCGCGCACCAGCACCTCCCGCGCCCGCGGCGGCGGCCGGCCGGCGCCGCCGCCGCCGTCCGGCGCCGCGCCGCCCGCCTCCAGCGCCGCCGCCTCGGCCGGCGCGGCGCGCGGGATGATGCCCGGGTCGGACAGCGCCGTGCGCAGCAGCGCCGACAGCGTGAAGACGAACAGCGCGGCGCCCACGGCGGGCACGGCGGCCGACACGCGCGTGGCCAGGTACGGGCAGTCGAAGGCGAAGTGCAGCGCGCACGTGCCGCAGATGAGCGCCAGCGTGAGCGCGAACACGCCGGGCTGCGGCGCCGTCATGAGGCGGCCGTCGCACCAGAAGCGGTTGCGGCCCGCGAACACCTCCCACTTGCGCGTCACGCGCCGCGACGCCATGTCCGCATCCCCCCGCCCACGCCCCACCACGCACCACCACGCACCACCACGCACCACCACGCACCACCGCGCCCTCCGACTACTGCGTTTAGAGCACGCATTCCAACATAAAGTAGCAGTTCAAGGGATGAAATATGGCAATTAATTACAACAGGGTGCAGAGCCACTACATCTGAGACATGACATCTTCAGGAATGGCAATGTATTCCGAGTAACATGGATGTGTATAATTTATTTTTATTTATTTATATGTACATTATATAATATCCATATATGACGATTAACAGAGGAGGGCCATCAACTTATTTGTCATTATTGGTAACAAGAGAGTAATAATTAATAACAGGGGTCTTAACAGAGGTCAAAACAATAATTTTTAGAATCTGTCTACCTGTTTGTCTGTATGTTTGTTCCAGCATCATGTATAAACAATACTGCACCAAATTGGTTGCAGTTTTCACAGTTGGGTTTTGAAGTTCTAACATACAGTCTGATGTACATTCTATGTTGATATACCATCAAGAACTGGTCTATAGATCATGTACAATAAAATAATATAACAAACCAAAAAAAAAAAAAAAAAAAATATATATATAAATATAATAAAATATAATAAAAATATATTGAAAAGGAAATACTTCTTAAACCATGGTCAACTGCCCTTCTCACAAACACAAATAGAGCACCGTATCTGTATATGATACACATTGAGGTAAAAAATTAGAAGGATGCCACATTAATTAAGATAATCTATATTTCATTAGTTTTCCTACTTCTGAAACCATGTGTACGAAGTACACAAGTAATGAACATAAAGCTAGTGATCAATAAAAAAATAAAAAAAAAAAAAAAAAAAAAAAAAAAAAAACTATTCAGTATTTCTTGATAAAATTTCTTTGTAATCTGAGAAGGTTTTGGAAGTAAGGGACTACCAGATAGTATACAATGTTGGGATGATGATGAAGTAGTATCATTTTTATAAGCAAGGAATAAGTCATGTGCTGTCAGCTTCATAGTTGCATGTGTTATAAGTAAAATATCTACCTTGACAGTTTGAAGAATAATAAATAATTGAAATATCACATTTTTCTACTTTTTACATGGACAATAAATAATTGCTAAATATTTAAAATTTAAAAGTTAAAACAAGAAACTGTAATAAAACTGTAAACTTTGAACCAGGAAATTAAATTCACATAAAACTTCCAAAATATTATGCAAAATTTCAAAATATATTGTTGCTACTTGCAGTAACTGTTTTATACTGAATATGAACAACATTATGAATTAAAACAATTTTAATACTGAATATGAAGAGTTCTCACTCCTAAACATACACACTACTCACATCCATAATTCATTTCTAATGTTATTAACTCTTTCATTATCACTAAATTTGTATCATTAAATTAGATTCAGATAGATGTATCAAAAACTGCATTAAATTTAATATATCCCATTTATGAGTTATCCATGCACCAAAAAAGTAAAAATGTTCAGTGGGTACCCTTAGATAAGGCTGTCTATTGACCAATGTTAAATCATAATTGTTTGTAGTTAATACCATATAACTAACTGCATTATATGAATAAACAATAGTCTCACAATTAAACCCAAAAACACACAACAAATCAGATAGGTATATTATAACGATTACAAAAATTCCAAACCAGACGAAGATAAGGTAACATCAAAGATTGTATCACCATTTCAAAGGTGATGAGTGGATGACTCTGAATAAGAAATATGTGTTAAATTAATGTAGAATAGTTATTAACACTTACTTGAACTAGTAGATTTAGACCGTCATCAAGTCATATCACAAAAATGTATTTAAAATCCAAAGTAATAGATTTCCTAATACCTATTTGAAACGTTTGATTTATGTAGTTTTTATAGCTTATCTTTTTTACTCAAGCGTAAATTCTATTATAGTTCATGCTTCTCTAAATTGAAATATAGTAGGTATTTTCGAGAGTAAAAATATCTAAATATAATGTATTATTTAAAATTTACTTTGAAAAACAAAGTTAGAACTTTCTTCCACAAATACAAGACATAAGTAATTCACCACAGATTAGACTACAACATGACTTCCGTCAGTTTCATACAAAGTTTAGATAGTCTCTGGATGTAAAAGGATTTTAATATGGAACATCTGACTCGAACTTGAATATCGATAAATATATTGATTGATATATTATCAACCATTAAGCTCGATACTAAAACAATTTTAATTATTAAATATGTAATACTTATAATCTAAATGTAGATTATAACATGACTACTCTACCGTAGACTTAATATAACGTCCTACGTAATAACAGACTGGAAATGTAATTACAAAAACGAAACGAAATTGTGGTTAGACTTATGTGCGTGAAATATAATACTAGAGGGAGACTGCACAAAAATCGATTGCTTGGGTACCTCTGTCCCATTAGTGTTTCATAAAGCAGTTGTGTTTACATGGCCGTGTTTCGGTTTGAAGTGTGGGATATGGCGTGAATTTACAGGGTACAGAGGAATAATACCTTATTCCTCAGGAATGTCTACGCATAGGGTATCATGGGCGAAATAGTATATTCTGTTATGTCCATAGTACTGCTCATGTCTATAGGCGACAGTTACCACTTTCCATCAGGTGGGCGGTCAGCTTGTTTGCCATTCTGAGTTGTATAAAAAAAAAATATATAAATGTGGGCTAGACCAGTGCTGCACCATGTACATTTTATCGTTAAATAATTAATTAATTCTGTATATGATGAAATGAAACTCAAAACATTGAATTTCATTTAACAATCAATAATTTTAAAAGTTAATAATAATTTGTTTACTTATTTAACTTTAGTGCACATGTAATAAATAAATAATTTGTGGGATATACCGTTAAATTTACAGGGTACAGGCATAACAGCTTAGTCTTCAGGAATGGCAACGCACGAAGGATATCACGGGCGACATAGTATACTCTCTATCGACTATATGGATTGTTATGTCCATGGTACTGTACATAAAAATTTACTTATTTTTCTAATAACAATTATTATTAACATAGGTATTGACAATATAATATTTACCTGAGGAAGACTGTACAAAATTCGTTTTCGTCGTGAAGCAGTTGTTTGCATGCAGTTGTTGTTTATATTCTCGCTCTAATTCTCGATTAACGTATCAATCAAAACAAATCCACTATCGACAAGATAGTGGATTTGTTAATCCTTGTTCTTTGACTATAGACATCTCGTTCGATTGACGTGACGTGTGATCTGACCAAGAATAAGAGATGTGTGAATAGGCTAAGGTCACTTGCAACAATTTTGTTTGTATGAACTATGTTACCGTGCTCAGCCAATTTGTAATTTTTTTATGGATAATAATGGCATAGTTACCATGCCTACGCTAACAGTATACGCAGGCATTGCTGGCAGGGAGTAAAGGATGATAGGTGAGAATGAAAATGTAGGTCAATTAGCCCATCGTATGAATATATCTGGATTTCGATGTATTCCAGGAGACACCACATAGTTGACAATGCATATTGCTTGCAATGAGAATGGCAGTCTGTATTACTAGCAATCTCTTCTCTCCCAACCAATTTGTAGTTATTTACCATCAAGTGAGTCGGATGCTCGTTTGCCCCTTGTCTTATAAAAAAAAAAAATATTGATAAATTATTTTAGATATTGTCTATCCAACACAATTCTTCCAATTATTGTTTACTGTGTTTCAAAGAGAATTCGCATTAATCATTTATCAATAACTAGATTTAAAACTGAAGTAGAATAAAATAAATACAAGTAACTAAACATAAGTACTTGTATTATTAGGTATACATTATTCATAAAATCTGAAAATTTTCCATTATGAAATGGCTAGGTCATTTATTACAATAATTGATATCGATATTTTGGTTAGAGGCATATATGGTTTCAACGCTTTGAATATATAATAATATTTATTTCATTGTGTTATTGGTTCGAAAAAGTAACATACTAACATTAATTTTTCGGGTGTAGTGGATTAAGGTCGCTGCCAACTTTTATATAGTATATGTTACGTAGTGATTGCTTTCTCTGTGACAGCATCACTCAATTGTAAAGTCTCTATGATGGTTTGATTGGAGGGGTGTTAAAAATATCGAAATGAATAATTTTACATTTTTGAGTTATTTTAACATTTTTCTTTGAAACCTTATCGTTATTATAAATAATTGAAAAAACTAATGTGGAATATAACAACAATGAGGTGATACCAGTGACATAACCCATAATATGATATATAAATGAGATACGAAGTTGGCAAGGTGGCAAGGATACGTGTGCCGAAATGGGGCTCGAAGGGTCACGTAGAGAAGCCTTGGTGGTCGTGACATTATGTCTTGTGTGGTACGCAGTGAGCTCCGCCAGCAATGTAGTGGGTAAACTGGTGCTGACGGACTTTCCTTATCCCATGACGGTGACCATGGTGCAGTTGCTGTCAATCGTCGTGTACAGTCCGCCAGCGTTCGCAGTCTGCGGAATTCGGCGCCAAACAGAGTTCCCGCGGCGTTATTATTGGCGCGTTCTTGTGCCACTCGCCTTTGCAAAATTTTTTACCACAGTTTGCTCCCAAATTTCAATTTGGAAGGTGCCTATATCATATGCACATACAGGTGAAGACAAAATATAAATTTTGATTAGTTATTTTAATTCTTAAAGCATTACATTTACATTTTTATGACAAATGGTACTTACTAGCAATTTCCTGTTGGCTTCACTAGTATGCACCAGTATAAGTAGACAATATCCTTGTTCAATTAGGGTAAATCTACTCTTGTACTAGATTTTATTAAAATCCATTTAGCTATTTAGAGTTTCATTGAATATGCATATAAGAAAGTAGCTTCATGTATAAATATATATATAGACATGGTATCAGGGTCAGGTTAGGTTCAGTATTGCTACAGAGTGTACTATTTAACATTCCTATTCAATCTCCGTGTGCCGGGCCCTAACTTTTTTATTGTGAGAACAATGTTCAGTGGGCATCTAGTCATCTTATATTAACAGATAAGTGACAATAGTCAACACTTGATTTAACATATTAAATAGAGGGCTGTTTAAAAATATTGCTCCATTCCTTAATGTTACTTTTTATTAATGACAATGACAATGTTATAATATATGATGTATTACGTCACATTTGATGACTGACTTTATGCTGGTCGAGGGTAACAGCAAAAAATTGATAGACATCTCCCAAATTTTACAGAGAAGATGCATAGGCAAAACATTACCATAAAAGTGTACTCAAGGAGACCTTTTTAGATTCATTTTTGGGAACAAAGGAATACTGTAGTATAACTTGCATCAATATGGGCGGCAGTGAAGGCGACGACGCCGCTGTGGACGGCGGCGCTGGCGCGGCTGCTATTCGGTGAGCGGCAGACGGCCGGCGTGCAGGCGGCGCTCGTGCTTATAGCGCTGGGCGTGGCCGTGGCCTCCGCCACCGAGCTGCACTTCGACAGCCTCGGGCTTGTCGCCGCGCTGGCGTCGGCGGCGCTGCTCAGCCTGCAACACCTCTACTCCAAGCGCGTCATGCGTGACACTGGCGTGCACCACCTGCGCCTGCTGCAGGTTGGTACGCAGCCGCCGCCTCCCCCGCCCCTGTCGACCTTCATGAGATTCCCCAATTATTGGTCTAATTTCCAGGTGGGCTGACTTGCATTTTCATTTTCATCTATTATTGCTCATTGGTGTACTGCCAGCGTATACTGTTAGCACAGGTGGAGTTAAAAAAAAACCCTCTTTCTGTCCACGGTTCTACTGTGAGCTCATATTTTACTTCATTTTTAGTTTACTTGCGAGTGTGAGTTCTTAAAAGTGTATTGTATCCTATTTAATAAGTAAGCCTGCAAATGTATAGGAACTATATTAAAAAAAAAATTATACACAGGATCTTGATAAAAATAATACATGTGGAAATGTTAAGAATTTTTGTCCATTCATCAGTTTCATATAATGCTATCACCACCTTAATACTAAACAAATGCGGTTTATAGAGCTGTGTTTGCAACGATTCAACTTAAAATGTGAAGTATCACTTTATTTAAATGTGGTCTATTTCGCTGGCTTGAAATGTCCGCATCGGAAGTGAGGCGTAGTGAGACGGGTGAGTGCGACACGCGCAGGTGCTGAGCCGGCTGGCGCTGGCGCTGTTCCTGCCGCTGTGGGCGTGGCGCGACGGCGCGGCGCTGCTGGCGGCGGGCGGCGTGCGCGGCGCGGCGCCGCTGCTGGCCGCCGACGGCGCGCTGGCGTGGCTGCAGGCCGTGGCGGCCTTCAGCGTGCTGTCGCGCGTGTCGCCGCTCGCGTACGCGGTGGCGTCGGCGGCCAAGCGCGCCGCCGTGGTGGGCGCGTCGCTGCTGCTGCTGCGCAACCCCGCGCCGCCGCTCAACCTGGCCGGCATGGCGCTCGCCGCCGCCGGCGTGCTGGCCTACAACCGCGCCAAGCTGCGGCCGCGCGCCGCGCCGCCGCCGCCGCTGCTGCCCGTCTGACTCCGCTCTGAGGCGTCCTTACGACTTCAGACAACGGCGATGCGGTTTCTAGTGAAAATTCATCCTACTTAGCGTATGTCTTTATTTGGTTACTATTAAGTTGCATTTTGTGCCAAGTTTCTCATACGTACCTACTTATGGAAAGTCCGTACGAGATGTAGCTGCGGGACAGCTCACTAGTATAGTTAGCAATTTTGCAACAGGTTGTATTTGATGAGTCGACCGGGCAGTACTTAGCAGTTGTAATGTATATTCTCATGGGATCAAACCTGCGAACAGTATTTAAGAGTTAAAAATACGACGCAAGCACAATGTAAAATATCCACACACAAGACGTCCCTCGCCTGCGAGGACCATTAGTGCAACCGCAACCATACATTTATTGGATGTGACAATCACAAATCTACTTAAAACAATATGCTAAAACGCAGTGTAAACGTTACCGACACAATGACCGGTATGTCAATGGTAATTATGTACACGTAAAGTACGTCGTTTGGTGCTTTCTGTAACGCTTAGCAATTTATACGGGTTTGATCGTAATACAATTGAGCGGTGGCCATGCAGGACAGGACAGGAATATGATAAAATCAATCTATTACTTGTTAATTACAATATGTATTGTTTAGTGTGCATGGTACGTGCTGTACTCAATTTGACACTAAATATTGTACACCTCGACGGATAAGTGGCATGAGTATGGTGTATACAACAGTCAGACGGAAGTCAAATCTGTTTTTATTTACTTCTTCAGTAAATAATCTTAGCATTTGTTTTATGAAATTAGTCATGATAGACACTGAAATAAATGAACGAATGATTAGTAAAATTGAATTATTATTATTAAGTAAATAATTATTTGAAACAAAATCTTACAATATTAGCAATTAAGTATTTCATTTTAATGATGATTTTTTCAGAAAGAGCAGGAAAGAAACAGCATTATAGCGCACAATAATTATCCAAAAAGTGGTTTTAGTTAGTTAGTTATTTCTTGTGATGTGTACATAAGACCAAGTCTTAGCTCATTCTGCATTGGGCATATTGTCATCTGTTTAGTAATTAGCAGCAGTGGTTTGTACCGGGTTGTACTTGTTGTAATTACTCTGGTATTTAATGCTCAAATGATTTCTGTACATACATTTATGTACTATTATAATTCTCCGTGATCAGATCGTTTCTGCATTCGTTATTATAATTATTTCACTACTCATATGAAATATATGTACCACACCACCTAAACTTTCATTGTAATGCCATTGTTTGGAATACTACCTGATAATAGAGAACGGTTGGATTATATAAGTAAAATGTTCGTTCGAACATTATATTCATGAGCGTATTTAAGATGAGAGAGAAAGATATTCTTAACTCCGCCAATGATTATATGTTTTGCCGTGGTCGGTAGTGTATACTGCCTCGCCTTCTGACGGTTGCGGGTTCTATTCCCGTACTCTACAAATATTTCTATTCACGAGTGTGCCTGTTCGTATTGCTCTAGCTGCTCCTATGGGCTCTATATTGAATATGTATGTACTTAATTATATTTATTTGTTGTTACATAACCGATAGCTACATTAATATACCACCTTTTATTTTCTTGACCATATTATCTAAATTAATAATATGGTCAAGAAAATAAATCATAAAAATAATCTCTCCTACTTGCTGTGCCCAACAGGGTCCATAATTGAAACCTTATGTAATAATTATGTATTATGTATTAATTAATTATTATGGAATGCAATAAATAAATAAATAATATTATAAAAATTTCAAATTTATAAAATTTGATATTTTTTATAATATTATTTATATTAATTGCACTAGCAATGAGAAACAAAATTTATTTAAAAAAAATTTAGAGATTACCAATCCACCTGAGCGCAGCCCGGGCAAATTGCTAGTTGTAGATATGGAATAATAGACGTAATCGGATGTGATACTAGCAAATTTCCTTTAGACGTCGAAATAATAATGTATATAAAAAAAAATTTAACTTGTATTAGTGAAATTATTTTGTCATAGAGCAAGTTATTTTTAACAAATATTGTTTTATTTTATTATAATATAAAGTACTGGATCGCATCGAGTCATCGGTACAGTGGAGACGCTTCAGTGGAACCAGTAGTAATGTGCGTGTAACGAAGTATCTAGTGATTGTAATGCTAGTACCTATTATTTATGTACACAAGCGGCCAAGCTGCTTGTAAAATGAATTTATTTTATTATATTGTTATGTAAATAAAGTTTTTATAATTTTTGTCTATTTCTTATACATGCCATGTTTTATTTTATATTTAATTTTAACGATTATGTAGTGACTAAGATCGTAAAGGGTTTTTTTTTATGCAACTTAGAATGGCAAACAAGCTGACGGCCCACCTGATGGAAAGTGGTAACCGTCGCCTATAGACATGAGCAGCACCATGGACATAACAGAGTATACTGTTTCGCCCATGATACCCCCCATGCGTTGCCATTCCTGAGGACTCAGGTGTTATTCCCCTGTACCCAGTAAATTCACGCCATATTCCACCCTTCAAACCGAAACACTGTCGTGCAAACACGACTGCTTCACGGTTGAAACACGAATGGGACAGAGGTTCCCAAGCAATCGACTTTTGTACAAAGTCTCCCTCTGGATGTTGCATTGGTTTGCCCATTTGGAAAGTATGGATCAAAGAATTACGAAAAAAAAAATTATCCAGCACAAATTAATGGAGATGCTCACAGGGGCCGCCCTAGACGGATGTACGTATGGTGTTCTAATAGGCAACGCGCTGAAGCAATTACAAGTACTCGTAACCGACGAGCGTGTATGATAGTTCTATTTTTATCAGAAAATATTGGAAATAAAAAACACATTGTATAAATAAATATTTATTTACATTACGACTACGGTGGTCGCTGTTACACGACCAGTGTAAAAAAAAATGCAGTCATTAACGCATACCACTTAATGCGTACAGCCACGCACACAGTCATACAGCTCGACATACACAAACACACACTTTTAGATGGTAATTAACGTATGGCCCACATTGGAACACTTAGAGGGCTCTAGGATATTGTAAGGATGCGTCGATACTCCTTTATGTTACGGAGACAAACTGTCGGAATGTTTCATCAAATCTTAAGCTTACAAGTAAACGCATCGTAGGAACATCGTCGATGGACGACACGGATCGACAGACGACATAATCTCGCCAGTTAAGTATTATAGATACCACGACTGAGCAGTACAAACTTAAACACCACTACAATTTCCCAAATTCAGTGATATAAGCGAGTTTGCACTAAACGTCCCGTCGCGCGCCGGCGCCGAGGCGGCGGTGATCGCTGCTATGACAAACTAGAGGCGGTTACAGCTCGTCGTGGTCGTCCTCGGCGGGCACCTCGGCCTCGTCGGCGTCGGCCGCCGGCTCGTCGTCCGGCTCGTCCTCGGGCTGCGCGTCGGCCGGCAGACCGAGCGACTGCTGCAGCATGCGCTCCACGGACTCGGCGAACTCGACCGCCTGCCCCTCCTGCAGCATGTAGCCCGACCGGATGGCGGCGGTGCGGTACAGCGTGGTGGCGGCCAGCAGCGTGGCCGGCTCGTCGGGCTCGTCCTGCACGCGGCGCAGCAGCTCCACGACCATTGGGTGGCGCGGGTTGATCTCCAGCATCTTCTTCTGCATCAGGTGGTGCTTGCGCTGCGCGTCGTCGGCCTGCGGGCGCGCGAGAGGTCGGTTAGCTCGTGGTGTGTAGCGTGGCGTGTGTAGCGTGGCGTGTGGTGTGTAGCGTGGCGTGTGGTGTGTAGCGTGGCGTGTGGTGTGTAGCGTGGCGTGTGTAGCGTGGCGTGTGGTGTGTAGCGTGGCGTGTGTAGCGTGGCGTGTGGTGTGTAGCGTGGCGTGTGGTGTGTAGCGTGGCGTGTGTAGCGTGGCGTGTGGTGTGTAGCGTGTGGTGTGTAGCGTGGCGTGTGGTGTGTAGCGTGGCGTGTGTAGCGTGGCGTGTGGTGTGTAGCGTGGCGTGTGGTGTGTAGCGTGGCGTGTGTAGCGTGGCGTGTGGTGTGTAGCGTGGCGTGTGTAGCGTGGCGTGTGGTGTGTAGCGTGGCGTGTGTAGCGTGGCGTGTGGTGTGTAGCGTGGCGTGTGTAGCGTGGCGTGTGGTGTGTAGCGTGGCGTGTGTAGCGTGGCGTGTGTAGCGTGGCGTGTGGTGTGTAGCGTGGCGTGTGGTGTGTAGCGTGGCGTGTGTAGCGTGGCGTGTGGTGTGTAGCGTGGCGTGTGTAGCGTGGCGTGTGGTGTGTAGCGTGGCGTGTGTAGCGTGGCGTGTGGTGTGTAGCGTGGCGTGTGTAGCGTGGCGTGTGGTGTGTAGCGTGGCGTGTGGTGTGTAGCGTGGCGTGTGTAGCGTGGCGTGTGGTGTGTAGCGTGGCGTGTGGTGTGTAGCGTGGCGTGTGTAGCGTGGCGTGTGTAGCGTGGCGTGTGGTGTGTAGCGTGTGGTGTGTAGCGTGGCGTGTGGTGTGTAGCGTGGCGTGTGTAGCGTGGCGTGTGTAGCGTGGCGTGTGGTGTGTAGCGTGGCGTGTGGTGTGTAGCGTGTGGTGTGTAGCGTGGCGTGTGGTGTGTAGCGTGGCGTGTGTAGCGTGGCGTGTGGTGTGTAGCGTGGCGTGTGGTGTGTAGCGTGGCGTGTGTAGCGTGGCGTGTGTAGCGTGGCGTGTGGTGTGTAGCGTGGCGTGTGCAGCGTGGCGTGTGGTGTGTAGCGTGGCGTGTGTAGCGTGGCGTGTGGTGTGTAGCGTGTGGTGTGTAGCGTGGCGTGTGGTGTGTAGCGTGGCGTGTGTAGCGTGGCGTGTGTAGCGTGGCGTGTGGTGTGTAGCGTGGCGTGTGGTGTGTAGCGTGTGGTGTGTAGCGTGGCGTGTGGTGTGTAGCGTGGCGTGTGTAGCGTGGCGTGTGGTGTGTAGCGTGGCGTGTGGTGTGTAGCGTGGCGTGTGGTGTGTAGCGTGGCGTGTGTAGCGTGGCGTGTGGTGTGTAGCGTGGCGTGTGCAGCGTGGCGTGTGGTGTGTAGCGTGGCGTGTGTAGCGTGGCGTGTGGTGTGTAGCGTGGCGTGTGGTGTGTAGCGTGTGGTGTGTAGCGTGGCGTGTGGTGTGTAGCGTGGCGTGTGTAGCGTGGCGTGTGGTGTGTAGCGTGGCGTGTGGTGTGTAGCGTGGCGTGTGTAGCGTGGCGTGTGTAGCGTGGCGTGTGGTGTGTAGCGTGGCGTGTGCAGCGTGTTACCTTCTGGTGCGCGTTGGACAGCGCGAGGCGCTCCATGTTGCCGGTCCAGCCGAAGGCGGTGGCGGCGAGCGCGGCGGGCGAGCGTGCCAGACGCCGCGACACGGTCGCTCGCGTGATGTACGCAGACAGCCGCTCGGCCAGCCAGCGCGTCAGCGGCTCGAACTGCTTCTTGTAGCCCTCGAGCCGCTCCTTCTGCTGCTCACCTGCAGGCAACGGTCAAAACGTCTACAATAGTAAAAAAAAAAATATTGAAAAGCAGTACAAAGGTCCTGATCATTCTACGTACAACTTACTTCTGATTTTTATTTCCCTCAAACCTATTATTACGCCCGATTCTCCTTCCACAATGTCCTCCTACAATTAATTTTGTAATCTAGAGCCCTCTTACATTCTACGCCTACATTTACATTATTCCACTTTTGTTACAGTAACAGCATTCCTCCCTGAATAAACTCCCTAGCGATACATAAAAAAAAAAATAAGCAGCGAAGTGAGAAGGCACTCACTCTCCTCGAGGTCGAATATTTCCTTGGCGATGTTCTGGAACTTCTTGCCGTCGTACTCGGGCAGCGAGGAGAGGCAGTACTCGTCGACGGCCTCGGTGAGGTAGAGCACCTCGTAGCCGCGGCGCACGAGCCGCTCGGCGAAGGGCGAGCGCTCGACCTCCGCGCGGCTGGCGCCCGCGATGTAGTAGATGTGCGTCTGGCCGGGCCGCATGCGCGCCACGTAGTCGGCCAGGAACGTCATCTCACTCGAGCGCGACGAGTGGAAGCGCAGCAGCTTGGCCAGCCGCGACCGGTTACTCGGGTCCTCCATCACGCCCAGCTTCACGCTGCAACACACCGCGTCACATCGCATCATTTACTCGTATATAGGTCGAGACAGAATGCATCGCCGCGGTCACCATCGAGACGGCAGCGTACTATGAAAGTCAGAGTACAGTCCACACTCACTTGGTCGAGTACTCCTTCCAGAAGTGCTCGTACTCGTCGTCGGGTATCTTCTTCAGCATGTCGAGGGCCTTGCGGACCAGCTTCTTCTTTATGATCTTTACCAGTTTATGTTGCTGGAGAGTTTCGCGGCTCACGTTCAGCGGCAAATCGTCGCTGTCCACGATGCCCTGCGACGTAATACAATATTATCAACAAAATAGAACTTCAGACCTTCAGCCAAGTTCAGTTATCGACATACGATTTCAGTGACATTAATGTACTATTGTTTATGGCCATGAACAACTTTTTTGGGACTTTTTATATTCGACAATTACTTATTCAATAATGTGTATATGTATATGCAATATGTAGTACGTCACACTATGAGTACTAACCAAAATCGGCTTTAATAAAAATTATGTGTTATGACGAATTATTTACCTTTTTCGCCAGAAAATTACATTAAATTGTAAGATGAATTGGTCCAAAAATCGAATATGTATAATGTAGTAATAATAGCTTTTTTTAAGTGATGTATAAGCTGGGCCCATGTCTGCATTCATTTTGTTTAATGAGGGTATAGTGCTCGTGTGCGTGCGTGCGCCGTACCTGTATGAAGGCGAGGTAGTTGGGCATGAGCTCGTTGAACTCGTCGGTGATGAAGACGCGGCGCACGTAGAGCTTGATGTGGTCGGTCTTGGTGCCGTAGCGGTTGAAGCTGTCGGCGGGCTGCACGCGCGGCACGAACAGCAGCGCGCGGAACGTCACCTCGCCCTCCGCCACGAAGTGAGCCCTGCACCACCGCGGACGGACGGATGTACACGACACACGCCATACACAAGAATTTGTTCCAATTCAAACATAATCTAAGCATGGCACAACCAGTTATGTTCATTTAAAAACTAAAGTACTGAATTGAATTGATAAGTTTTCAGTGCAACCAATCAAAAGATAATATAACTTTATTCAGAGTCTCTTTCTCTCTGCTCTGAGTTAGATTGAAAAATAAAAACAATAATAAACTTGTTTTCTATGTTGAATACCATCAATGTCAAAAACTCTCAGCTAAAATTCATGTTGGACTCATCAAAAATAGTGGGTGATACTTACAACAATTTGAATCACCTATATCTAACAATTTAGGCCTTTGAAGCATCAAAACATGAAAAGAGTACTGTATCCGTAAACAATAGCATCACTTATGGTTATAAGTAGTAAACTAGAGATCCTACAGTACACGGTGATTGTATTATAATGTTCACTGGTCAGACTAATGGCTATTTGTCAGTGGGTACGTACTTGGCGAGTGGCGGCGAGCTGTCCTTGGTGAGGCTCTTGTAGAACTGCGTGTACTCCTCCTCCTTCACGTCGGCGGGCTTGCGCGTCCATATGGGCTTGTTGTCGTTCATCAGCTCCCAGTCCCACACGGTCTTCTCAGTTTTCTTGGTCTCCTTTTTTTCGTCGGTGGCATCCTCTACCTGTAACAGGAACAATAAAAAAAGTTGTAAGTAAAAAAAGGCACTATGCGTGTGGATATAAATAGATATTTAGGCGTGTGGTGTCACCTGGGCATCCTCGTCAGCGTCGGCTTGATCAGCGTCGGCGTCGGCGTCGGCCTCCTCCACGGTCTCGGTGCGGGACGCCCACAGGTAGATGGGAAAGTTGATGAACTGTGAGTACTTCTTAACGAGGGAGCGGATCGTGTCCGGCTGCAAGTAGTCCGCCGCCTCCTCTTTCAGGTGCAGCCTGCGCGAGGACGAGCGTCACGTTAGCACGGCGCGTGGTGCGTGTGTGTGTGTGTGTGTGTGGAGGAGGCTAATGGAGGCTAGGGGAGGCGAGGGGAGGGGATGTGGTCGTACGTGATGTGCGTGCCGCGGCGCAGCGTGTCTCCGCGCGGGTCCTCGGCGACGCTGAAGGAGTTCGCGTCCGACTCCCACACGTGCTGCTTGTCGTCGTTGTGCTTCGACACCACCGTCACCTTGTCCGCCACCAGGAACGCCGAGTAGAACCCGACGCCGAACTGCCCGATCATGTCGTTCATCTCCTGCGCGTTGCTCTGCAAATTTAAATATATCGGTTTGTACTGGGACGATATCAAGTATACCTCTATAGATATTGACTTGAAAATATTATACTGAGGCTGAATTGAAAAAAAAAAGGAACAAATTGTGGAACAGTCTCGTCACCTTTTCAGCATCCTGCATCTTGGAGAGGAAGTCGGCGGTGCCCGACTTGGCGATGGTGCCGAGATTATTGACGAGGTCGTTGCGCGTCATGCCGACGCCCGAGTCGATGATGTGCAGCAGCCGGTTCTCCTGGTCCGCCTTGATGCGGATGCTCATGTCCGGGTTCGAAGCCAGCACGTCGCTGTTCGTCAACGATGTCAATCGGATTTTGTCCAACGCGTCCGACCCGTTCGATATCAGCTCCCGAAGAAATATCTAAACAAATTATTACATCAAACTTTATATGACTTTAACAGTTTTACAATTCATATAGTTGACAACAAAGCAGTGTTGTCGGATAGCGCAGAAGGCGCTGCGCTACATACGAGCAAGATATTGCAATACCATGAACATACCAGTAAACAGCGACATGGTAGATACCTCTTTGTTTCTGTAGAGCGAGTTGATGATGAGCTTCATCATGCGGTTGACCTCCGTCTGGAAGGTGTAGTTCTGGGCCTGGTCGCGCAGCTGCCGCTGCTGCGCCACGCTCAGCCCGTCCGGGGAGATCGCCTCCTCCTCGCGCAGCACCGCCTCCGCGTCTGCGGCCACACCGCGGCTCGTGAGCAACTGTCTCCTACTAGCTAATACACCTACTACAGGTAGGAACTCGCAGTATCCATGCTGCGTGCAGTACACAGCTGTTGTCACAAATCAATGTCTTTCTATGTGGAGTCGGAGTAATATATTATTCTCTCATTTTGCAGTCACCTTCACTCTTTCAAGCCGCGCTAACATTCATACAAGCACGCACCCCCTTACACATCTGCTCGTGTGCTCACGTCTATCCACATTCCACTCAGTCTTTCATTCATCACTATTCCTGATCAACACTCCGGTGCATATTAAATAACAACAAATGTTCCCTTTAGTAGTAAAGGCGGAGCTGTGCGTGGTGGCATAACCTGCCGCGTCTCCATCAACTATTATAACAATATTGCCTGATCAGCAAACATTATTTTGTCCACTACCGCCATCCAGCAGGACATTTTTTTCTATCTATCTATCAAATTGGAGCAAATAATACATATTTATAAATTTCATTAAAACCGAGAGATTAGCGTAAACGAACAACGTGACACGGGATTTTTTTGTTGATACAAAATATTCCTGCATTAGGTCGTGAACACACGACGTACGTAATTTTTTTAAAATTCTTCGAAATGCAATGAAACATCTCTATGGGAACAGTTGTATCGATTAAACTTATAATTCAATAAGGTCATTCGTCGCTAGTTGACGGCACGTGCGAGCGGGCGAGTCAGGTATTCAGGTAATCGTACAGGTGGTACGGTGCAGACATGGCCGCGCCAGCCGAGCGGCCGGCGGAGGGCGGTGACCCGGCGGAAACTCAGCACACGCTGCACCACCCGTGCTCATTCAAGCTACGTTTTGCCGAACGTCGAGAACTTGGCAGGTCCTATGTCTCGCTCGTAAAACCGCTCAGATTACGTAGGTGTCGTTGTTTTAGATTAGTAAGGCCTAATTTTTCTGTGGCTATTCCACAGTTTTATTCCCCGTGACGAGGTTAAGTTACTAAATAGATGTATGAAGATTGAGAGTCTCTAACAATTCGACTGTAATTTTTAAAACGTCATATGTACCTAATTTACTAATTAATAACTATTAATTTTATGAATTCCTATATTATAAAAAAGAAAAATTTTGTTTAGCGGCAACAGTGACCGGGAAATTTTACTCCCGCGACCGGACGGAGTCAGCAGACGAAGAGCTTACGCGGCAGGCGCTGCGGCGTATCGAGGACATGTTCGCGCTCGGCCCCCGCGAGAAATACTCCGCGCCGGTGACATCGTCACAACAGTACGTACACACAATGTTCGCTCATCAGGTTTGTGGACTCTGATAATTTATTATTATTTTTATATTATTTTTAAAAAAACAATATGCAAAAATAACTTATATATGTTTGTTATATATAAGAATATAATGTTTCTTCTGTCGGTAGTACAATAAATTATAAAAATTGGTTTTTAAGACAATTGTTAAAACATTAAACAATGAACGAGTTACTTAGAAATTCTTGAAAAATTGGCAATATACAAGCTCCTGATATTGAAACTTTCATGTTATGCTTCTGATAGTTCCACATACATTTTATCAATAAATACAAAGATGTTGGTCACAGCCCAGTGATGTTCAGTTCACTTTTGGAGTTTATTGAAATTAACATTAAGAATTATGTTCGAATCATGAATAGTAGGAAACTGTGCTTAAGTAATTTATTTGCAGAATACAGTACTACAAAAGGTCTTACTAGTATAGCATTTGTCTAATGTATTCAGCCCATATACAGGTATCAAAATTTACACATTTTTATATCATTATATAATTCAACTACTGAACATGTCTACTCGTAGATTACTTTATAAATTCGTTGTGTTCTTTTACACTATAAAACAGTTTTTTAAGAAGTATGCCATCAAACGCAACTTAAAAGAGTTTCAATTTAATATTATTATTATATCTTCTGGCAAGTGACTATAAAGTATGATACACATATTAAATATATTTTTTTTGTATATATCTCTGTGGCATTGAGGCCAGTAAAACTGATTTATAAAATTTGGTCTAGTTTGCCTTTGAATTGGGAAACATGAGTGTTTAAGTGAGGACGTCAATTCAAAAGTTGAGTTGAGTGTGGTGCTCGTCAGGTACGGGTGGTGGTGGGAGCGCGGGGAGAGCGGCAGCGAGCGCCTGCAGCACCACATACGGGACTCCGCGTGGCTCAAGGCCCGCCTGAGAGTGCTTGCTGCCGATGATAAACTCAAGCAGAAATAATACCTATATACATAACTAGCTTATGACCACCACTTCTTTCGCAGACGCGGCGTTAAAATATAAAAAACAAACTCACTGTCACATTTGTAATATAAGTAACATGTGATGGGTTTCCATTAAAATAATACAACTACTCAAATATTTCAATAATTATGTATGAATACCTATTACATAACTTTTATCAAATATGGTATGGATTACTAGATTATGTGATTACTATATTAAATCATGCACAGTTTAGTAAGATAACTAGATAAGTCTTTAATAAAAAAAAAACTAATGAACATAGATAAAATTTCAAATCATCCATGAATATTAGTAGCATTAATATTTTGTTAAACACAGTAAATAACTACTTTTATTTTTTATGCAACTTACAATAGCCAGCAAGCTGATGGCCTACCTGATGGAAAGTGTCTAAAGACATGATCAGTATCATAACCATTACAGATAGACTGTGTCGCCCATGATACTCTTCATGCATTGCTATTCCTGAGGACTAAGGTGTCATGCTTCTATACCCTACAATTTCATTGCTATATTCCAGCCATTCACAGCAGAAACATGAATGGGATAGAGTTACCCAAGCATACAATTTTGGTAGTTTCCCTCTGTTAAAAAATAGTTTTATATAAAAGTGTAATTCTAACATAAAAAATCATATAATATTTCAAAATAGTTTTACTGTTGAATATCAATGTAATATTGAAGTTCACTTATTTCACTTATTTTTTTACTAGTGTTTATCTGCAAGTTCATGACTGGAATATACCCTGTCTGTGGATTAACCAGCACAAAAAGTAGCTCATGTCCCTCTCCATAATAAATAGTATATGTATATCAAGTTTCATCACAATTGGTTAAGCTATTGAAGTGAACAAATCAACTTACTTTCACATTTATAATATGTATTACTAAGAAAGTAATGATTTTCCTAGATTTGAATGAAATTCAACTAGATTATTGAGTCAATGTTATGGATCTGTCTGCATATAATGTCATATTATTTCATCAGAGACACCTGTATTAGTAAGTATAAACTCTTGGCACAGCAACTCCAGGTTATCTGACAGTAATGTTGTTTGAGAGTATAACAATCCTTACAATAAACAGTCATTATCATCAACATACTTTTATATTATCAAGAAGAATTAATTTATTGCAATTTGTAATGAACATATATTATTGTTGACATTAAAAAAATGTATAAAAATATTTTAATTATTTTAACTGATAACATCACTATGTATACCTTCAAATATATACTTTGCATATAAATAACACTTCCATATAACAAAAATTAATATAACATGTTAATTTAAAAAACACTGGAAATAAAATGCAGTCTGTGTTCTCACACATAGAAGTGTATAAAAATAGATAAAAATAAGAGACAATAGAAAGTAGCAATTTGTGATCTCTGTTCATTGTAATCTAACTGAATATATAGCATATCATAAATGTAGTAGTAGATAATAAGAGTAAAGGAATACACTAACCGGTACGGGAGCCTTCTCTAGACGCGCCCAGGTCGGCGTCCAGAGTCACCTCTTCCACTGTCCCTACCCCGATGCCATCGTCATGGGCCGCCGACCATCCTATAAAAATGATTCCTTCGAATAAAAACTTAAAACAAGTAATTATTAAAAAAAAATGTGACGAGTTGCGTAGGGGAGCGTTAGAAAATTCTAGTATTCAAGTATTGTTCTTGCAACCACGCTAATTTTAATATTCCAACTGTTTAAATACAAAACTATTTCTCGTCATAGTTATCAATAAAAAATATGTAGCAACTACTATGTAATAATTCTTAAAAAGCCGTAAATTTCAGGTTCAAGTAGGTGTTTTAAAAATGCGCTTGGTGACGTACACAATATTTTTGTCATTTACCTGAAAGAAGCAGGATGCCGGCCCCTAGCAACAAAAAGTATTTCATTGCTAGAATCTGGTTTTATTTCAGAATATAATTTTCCAGTTAATTCAATAAAAGCCGGTCAACAAGTAATAGTCACACCGGACAAGTCGAGACAACGACAAACGAAGACCAGCCTATTCTCTCTTTATTTTCCGCAATACAATTTGACAGCAATAATGACAATAAAGTGCATGAACTTAAATGTCTCCTTCTCATTGGTTGCCTATAAACAGAAATGAATATAATAACCAATAGGAAACAAACACGGCATTCGTTTGACTAATAGCAGATAAATTTATACAAATGTCTTATTTCTATTGGCGTATCACTATCTGATTGTTTTTTTCGGTTTCAGGCATGGATCTAATTTTTTAATGCTTAAAACGTAAGTAATATTAAGTGTTGTCAAACTGAATGAATACCTTAGGTGAATACGAATAATTAGAATATTTATTATTACGTCAAAAATAGAATAGAATGTCAATCACTTGATCGTGTCAAATTGACAGTTGTCATATGACAGATGAGCGGCGTCATCCGATCTCTACACAAAATATTCAATATCCAAAGATTTTGAATATCGTCCATCTTTTCTAGGTATTTAAATATCTATCATCATCTTCATCGTAGCCATTGTCTGTTCATCGCCTCCAAATACCACAAGGAACTATCCTGAGTCATTTTTTCCCCTAATTATCCTGAGTCATTTACATCCATTGACTTCCTGCAAGGCATTTGAGGTCATAGCTATGTCTAATGGGAAGTCTTATACTGCATTTACCTCTTTGGGGTCGGCGGGAAAGAGATTGTTAGTAATGCGGAATATCAGTTCCATTGCTAGCAATATCCAAAAACCATCATGCTGAATTCATCACGATGGGGTAACTGACCTGCCTTTTCATTCTTACTAATCATCCGTCACTGGTAACTCCCCACCAGCGTATACCTTTAGCCCAGGAGGGATTATCATTCCATTACCATCCATTAAAAAAAATCCTTTTAGGCTTTTTCAAGAACCATCGGTCGTCGGTTTTCAAGCTATTTGACCGACCCATTGGCACTTTAGCTTGCTTATCCTTTTGGACTATGTCAGGCAAAGAAACTTTGAATATAACTTTCTCCATAGCTTGCTGAGTAATTTCAAGTTTTATATATATGCATATTTAAATGTCGATGCCACAGATATGTTAGTGGTCTATGTATAAACTATTGTTATATATATATATATATATATATATGTTTCCCACTTAAGTACGTAATAAATATAAAAATAATATATATAACTTAAGTAAAACTTGTCTAGGAGTACCAAATAGATTAAGATCGGTCTTGCTAGAATGAAAGAAGTCGATTTTTTTTTAATATTGCGAATTTTGCAAAAAGAGTGTTGCCCTGTGACTCTTAAATTCTTAATCTATGGGAAATGACGTTATCGTAACGAAATGACAAGTTAAAATTTTACTTGCTACTATTTATGTCAATATTGTTAATGTCAAACATTAAATTCAAAATTAAAAACTCTAGTAATTGAGTTGAAGAAAAACAAAATAGAAATACCAAATTTATCTTATTTCGGGTTATTCATAATTATTTGTTTGTTTTGATTAAATCTGTGCAATTAATGATTAAAAGCTTGAGACAAACTTCAACAGTTTATATTTACGTATTATAAATAATTTTAAATATATTTTGCATTGTTAAAGGTTTATCAATGTTACTAGATTAATTTACAAGAAATATCGTGTTTGAAAAGGAAAAATGTTGGATTGTAATTCACCGCGCAAAGTGACATCACGACGTCGTATTTCATATAAACCCAGTGCTTGGAAAGTGCATCAGTTTGAGATTTGGAGTGGGGAGTTGGTGTGCAGAGTTGCAGTTCTACGCGCTGATCGCTGCTTGTTTCTGTGGCTGGGCGGTACCGCGGGCAAGCCAGAATTGGGCGAAATGTCAATGGGAGTGCCAGCGCCGGAAGGCTTACTACAGGGCTGCAGCCGCGGCGGGCTTGCGACAACACTGCTTGGCGCCGATGGTACCAGCACTGCGATGGCGCGCCGACTGGCAGCGTCTTTGCAGCGCCCTGTATATGTGTGCTCCAGTTGCACTTTAGATAGATTTACAATCCCAATAGTTGAACGTGGACTCATTTCTGAAATTAAAAACAGACCAGAGTGTTTTTAAATTAGCTATATTCATAAAATAAAAAACATTTTTTACCAATAAAACCAGTTTTAGTCATTATAATAAAAATGCTTAATATTTCTTAATAAAAGTATGTAAATACAGGCCAAAATAAATAAGATGGAAAACTTTTTGGGAACCTAGCTAAGAAAATTAAAATATTTTTCAATAAATTTTATTGCAATATATGTGGGCCAATAATATTGTAAACTATTCCAAATCAAATAGCATTAGTAGTTTTTTTTATATGCAACTTAGAACAGCAATCGTGTTTACAGCCCACCTGATGGGAAGTGGTAACCATTGCCTATAGACATGAGCAGTGCCATGGACATAACAGGGTATACTGTTTCGCCTATGATAGTCCTCATGTGTTGCCATTCCTAAGGATTTAGGTGTAATTCCTCTGTACCCTGTAAATTCATTGCCATATTGCACCCTTTAAATCGAAACAGCTATGCAAATACAACTGCTTCACGATAGAAACGAAGAAAGACTCTGTTTTCCGCACTTAGCCTCCCATTTGGGCCGTTGTGCGTCGCGATAGAAACACGAATGGGACAGATGTGCCCAAGCAAATAACTTTTGACCAAAGTCTCCCTGTGGTCTTTTGTACATACTTATATTTAAAAAATTACACACATGCACACATACATGCATGCCTAAAAGTGTGTAGATTGTTAATAACATATTTATTTTATTATATAACTTGTTACTCATGTACTTATAATGACAGTTCACTATGACTATTTGACATTTATCAATTTTACAAACTTGATAAGTAATTCTTTTGTCTATTAGTAATGAGGGATCATATGGAAGGGACTTGTAATGTAAATTGGACTCACTTTTCCGCACTTATCTTTTCATTTGGGCCATTGTGCATATGAGTCATGGCTAGTACAGCCAGCTGGCCCGCCCAGAAGCACAGAAGCTTCCTGGGATCTTCACAGGCCTCACGGAGTAACCTCACCGTTTTTGTCCCTATCATTATTTTGAGGTTTTTCCTATCTAGATGTAATAAACGTTTTGATAGTCGTTGATTCAACGTAGGCACTGCCAATTTTGATTGTCTGCAATCAGTAGCCTGTACCCATCTTTAGTTTTGTATATCAGCGGATCTTTGACAAATAGCCGTAACTTTTATTATTGCTATTACTGTACATCCATACATCTAGCCTCACAAACTATAGCGTTTATAATACCTATTAGTGAAATCGTTATCAAAAATACTTTTTAATTTACCGACATTACACAATATAGAACAAGGATCTCTTAAAGTAACTGTCTGTTACGCCTTCACGACTAAACCGCAGAACCAATTTTGATGATTTTTGATATAAAGATAGAAACCCTAAAGAATAAAATAAGCTACTTTTAGTATTAATCCTATGTAGATGAAGTCGCAGCCACCAGCTTGTAAAATATAAAGAAAAAGGATAAGTAGGTCTTTTTTACACTGGCGGGGCACTAGTAATAGGATATAGGATAGAGAGAGTAAGGATGAAAATAGATCAGTCATCCTATCGTGACGAATTCCACAAGAAATAAACACTGGTTAACAATATATTTTGTGTACAGTAAAGAATAAAGTGGTTTCCAGGAGTAACTGCGTGGAGGTCGACCTGATAGAAATATATTGCTAGCAATGGAGTTATTAATCTATAAATCTATACATATAATAAAACTGTAGAGGTCGAATGCCTGTAAGTACATAGAAAATAAAAAATAACGCTAAAATCCCAGTCAGGGGGATGTTAGCAGTCTCTGTCTGTTTGTACGGGCTAATCTACAAAACTGTTAGACCGATTTTATGGAAATTTTGCATGGTGGTCAATATTTTAGATACTTTTAATTACGGAAAGTTAAAGAGTTCCCGTGGGATATTTAAAAAACTATAGTAACTTATATAGCTTAGTACACAACCTATCTACTTATGAGTAAATTGTCATTTTGACCTAAAGCAAAGAGAGAGAACGACACGTCATTTGTTAATTTTGGTCTAGTATTCCCAGATATAATAAATAGATAGGTAAGGGGGAAAGGGATTGTTAGCAGTGGGGTCAAATAGCCCCATTACTAGCAATATACCCTATCAGGTCGACCTCCACGCGGTTCCCCCTGGAAACCATCGTGGCTAATTCTAGTTGAATTCGTCACGATGGGCTAACTGACCTGTTTTCATCCTCATCAGTCATCTATCACTGGTGCCCCGCCAATGTATACCGATAGCGCAGACGGGGTTACCATACCATTATCACCTATTAAAAAAAATAGATAGGTACATATATTGATACATTCCTACTAAACAGGAATAACAAATGCCATGCGGACAAAGTCGCGGGCATCATCATCAGCTAGTTATTAATTATCCCTTTCCCCCAAATACGAGTAAGTAGGTATGATTCATTTTTTGAAATGTTTAAACTCAAAAAAAGGTAGGAAAGTCGCACGAATTTAGGATGGCGTAGGTATCAAGATAGAAGATAGGCAAGTATATTACCTACACAAGATCATCACGAACACAATTGTGAAGACAGCATTCAGATTGGTGCATTGCGTAAGTACTTATTGTGTGATGAATGAACAGACATACCTAGGTACCTCAGGCAGACAGGCAACAATTCTAAAAAATTTTGTTTTGGCAGTTTGGCATCTATTCACGTAGGCGAGCATAGTCGAAATATTCTGTTTTAGAAGCAATTCACGGCACTTTGACCCTCCCGTAACTGTACGTGGATAAAGTAAGAAGTTGGGGGGGGGGGGGGGATTATTAGTAATGCGGACATCAAGCCCTATTGCTAGTAATATACTTACTCGGTCAGGTCGAAGGTGTATCTATTCATCATGATGGGCTGACTGACCTGTCTTTTCATTCACATCTATTATTTCTCACTGGTGCCCCCCAGCGTATATCGTTAGCGCAGCCGGGGTTACCATTCCATTGTTATCCATAAAAAAAAAGTACCTAAGAAGCTGGTATTTTGTGATGAAATGTATATACAATAACTACCTACTAGGTATATTGCCAATACCTAGGTATATTGTTGGGGGGAAGGTGATTGTTAGTAATGGAGACTGAGAATCCCATTGCTAGCAATATATCCAACCAGGTCGACCTCCTCGCGGTTTCCCCTGGAAACTATCATGGTTAATTCCTGATGAATTCATCATGATGGGCTAACTGGCCTGTTTTCATCCTCATCGATCATCCTTCACTGGTGCTCCGCCAGCGTATCCCGTTAGCGCAGGCGGGGCTACCATTTCATTTTCATCCACCAAAAAAGAAAAATTACCTACTCGTAAATGAAAAATAATGAACGCATCGTGCTTGTAGCTGACGGACAGTTATATTTAGGTACCTATATATTATATCAGAAAAAAAGGACGACCTAAAAAAAGAAATGAGATACCTACTATAAAAAAAAGTATCTAGGTATCTATCAGAGGTACCTAGACTTCGTACAAAAGTCGTTTACTTTGGCCACCTCTGTCCTATTCGTGTTTCTACCTTGAAGCAGTTGTGTTTGCATGACTGTGTTTCGGTTTAAAGGGTGGGATATGGCAGTGAATTTACAGGGTACAGAGGAATCACACCTGAGTCCTTAGGAATGGCAACGCATGGGGGTATCATGGGCGAAACAGTAGATAACTCTGTTATGTCCATGGTACTTATTGCTCATGTCTATAGGCGACGGTTATCACTTTCCAATAGGTGGGCTATCAGCTTGTTTGCTATTCTAAGTTGCATAAAAAATGCCAAATAAGGGCGCGATTCATTCGCAGTGTGAAAATTGTGCTTCGGTTATACTGAAAAAGAATGCCACGCGAGGAAATTTTTAGTGGCCTCTCAGCCGTAGTGGAATGTCTATAGTAAATAGTACCTAAAGCATCAAGAGAACGTATCGATAAATCCCAGGAGTCAAAAAGCAATGCTTCCCAACCACTTCTTGCTTGGATCCTCGTCCAACTCACCTGTGTTATTGTACTTCGACAACAGCGATCTCTATTTTTTTTTATGCAACTTAGAATAGAAAGTACACTAGCGGCCCACCTGGTGGAAAATAGACAGTAACAGTCGCCTATAGACATGAACCATACTATGAAACTGAAACAGCTGGCCTGTGTAAATCGTAGATAATTCTTGTGAACTTCGTCACGATGGGCCACTAATCTGTTTTTATCCGGACCTGTCTTGTTGATCTCTCAGTGGCGCCCCGCCCGTGTACCTGTGACACGGATAACGCTGGCGGGCTCACAATTCCATTTTCACCTATAAAATAAAGCTTAGTTACTCCGCAAATTTCAAATAATCATTTAGAATTTTACACTTTATTTGCATTTATAACACAGTTTATAATGTAAATACGGGCCAGTGGGACGTAGACAGCGCAGTTTATGATTGGCAAGAAACAGAAAAAGATTGAGTTCGTAAAGTTAGTGGCGGATTAGGCTGGTCAGAGGTCTGGGACAAGGCGGCAAAGCTTAATGAGGCGCGCTGTTTAAGTTAAAGTAATTTTATAAGCCTTATTCAGTTCATATTTATAAGTGTTTGTGTTTATATAGTTAAAATCTTGCTAGTGAAATTTAAATGAGTATAAAATAGAATATAGATGTGGAAAATGGAGGCGTTTGAAAGTCCCCGGGTCCAGCGGTCTGGGCAGGGCACCCCTTCCCGCCTCCGCCTCCGCCTCCGCCTCCCCGTTAGTCCGCCGCTGCGTACCTCAAGTTTGATTCGAATTTAGTTACTGCAATGTCTTTGTAAAACAAGTAGATGCATCTATTATTTTGCGTATAATATGCTGTCATTAATTACGTAATTTCTTTCAATTGATTATATCGTAAACATTTCCTTTTAAAATGCCGGCAGCACACCTGCAATGCCACTGGTGTTGTGGGTGATCATGGGCGGCGGTAGTCACTTACCATCAGGTGAGCCGCATACTCGTTAGCCCGCTGTGTTGTAAAAAAAAAAAATTCCAATAAATAAAACGTTTAAGATTTTAGCATGGGGTTGGGTGTAACGAAATTTCGAGGTACCTATAACCCTTTACAACTTGCCCTTCATGATCTTATGTGAGCGCCTATGGCTGTCGTCAGCCAGGTACTTGGATACTCAATAAGCTGTTTTAATAGCATTACAGGACAACACGACATGATCTTAAATAAAAGGAAGAAGTTGGTGTTTATACGTATTTACGGTAGCGTATATCTACTACGTATTGAGCATCGCACCAGTCGCGTCACGTGTCCACTATTGTTTGTCGTTGCACTGTGCCGCGTCGTCAATAGTCGACACCGGGCTTGTAGTGTAGGGACCATGTTACCCGCACCCCGTGCCCCGCGCCCCGCGCCCCGCGACCCTTGCCCCGCCCGCCACGTGCTGTCACGCGACGACGCCAGTGTCGTGAATAGTGGTTATGGATAATCGCTTCGCGACTATCAAAATCCGCACACGTGATTGGAGGCGATGGGGGCGGCGCCCGGCCGCGGGGCGGGCGCTGTTGGCGGCGGGCGGCGGCGGGCGGCGGCGGGCGGGGCGGGGCGGGGTGGTCGGCGTGGCCGGCGCGGCTCTCCGCGGCCGGCAGTGTGGCGCGCGCGCCGCTGTGATCGTGTCCGTAGTGCGTGCAGCGTGGCGAGCGGCCCAGTGAGCGAGCGAGCCGCGCGGTCGCGAGTGCTGTGCCGAGCTGTGTCCGCGTCCGCGTCCGCGCCCGTGGCCCCCGCCTGTGATAGTGCTGTGCCTTAGCAGTGACGTGCTTTACTACTCTCATTTACAACTGTTTGTTGTGTGACCACACCTGGCCAAATATCAGTGCTCTCTTGGATTAATTCTCATATCGTTACCAAGGTAAACGTCAATCAGTGTATACCTATTCTCATACACCCGTCAGATGGATAGCTTATTAGATTGTTTAAATATATATATGATAATGATATTGTAGGAGAGCCACCCTACGTTACTGGCTTGCGCCGGCGGAGTATTAGTAAGGTATGATACATAACTAAAATTTTAATTAGCTTACATGACCCAACAAAACAAATTCTTTGGGAATAATAATACCACGAGGGTTTCTAGGGCGAATAAACGAATGCACAGATTAATTAGTTCATTGTCTCTGTTCAGTGAACTGACCTGACTTTATCCTCATCTATCATTGCACATTGGTGCTCCACCAGCATGCGAATAATTCTACTCCATAAAAAAGGGTAGCTAGGTACCTATATTGGAACAGAAAGACAGGCCAGGAGTCCCTAGGAGCCTATTAGCTTATTAAGTATCTACATATTCGTTAAAAAGTTTCATAAAACCCAACTAGTTCCTTATCCTACCTAGATAGGGAAAAAGAAGGGCTAGTCAGTAATGAGGACTAACATCTCCATTGCTAGCAATATAGGGTATATATTGATCAGATCGACTTCCATGAAGTTCCCCCGTAATCTATCATGGTTGATTTTCATGAATTCATCACGATGGGCCGGTTGTTTTAATCCTCACTTATCATCAATCACTGGTGCCCCGTTACCGTATACTTATAGCGCAGGTGTTTACCATTTCACCATTATCCATTAATCTACCTATTTAGGTATTTGTTAGAAAAAAATACATAAGTAGATACGTATAGCACGGGTGCTCATTCGAACCGCGTAGTTAGGGAAAGAGAGTTGATCGCGTAGGCAGTTGTTTAGGTATACTACTTGCGGTTCCCACCTGATGTTTAATTAGAAATACTTAGGATATTGATATTACTAATTAATAAATAGACAGGCAAGTGTCGATAGCCTCAGACAGTCAGGCACGTGCAGTTAAATTGCGTTTATGTTATCAATATGCAGTACACCAACTTACCAGGCTACTAATTGAGATATGTATACTTTATATTAGGAGTGAGGCGTGTTTATTATAACATATATAAATCACAAGTATTCGAAGATAATAGATAACAGTTGTTTTGCGATGTCGTTATATCTGTTAAAAAAATATCATTTACAATTCACCATACTCGTGTTATTCAACCACTATCAACAATCAACATTTTCAGTATTCGATCACAGTCGGTCACTAACATTGCTTGAAATAACAGAAAAGTCAATAAAAAATGAAACAACTATTCTTGTCTTTGCTTTTGTATAATATTGTCATAAGCTAAAACGAGACATAAATGAGATGTATTTAATTGAAATAAACCAAAATTATAGTAAGTCGTTTCATTAGAAGAAATACTGTTTCAAAAGCGACGAAAAGACTTGTTATTTAATAACAGATATTGGTAGGTACGTGTTATTATTGCGTAACAGTAACGGTAATAACAGATATTATGTTTGTCCTGTTATAACCCACGTCTACTTAATCTGCATACGTACTGTGTAAATGAGTACAAATAGAGTAATTTTTTTTTTCAATTAATGTATTTTACGGCTCTAGTTGCGAGTTTTTTGATCCCGACATTATAAAGAGTAGGCACACTTTGAAATCAGAAGGCCTATCATGAAATATTTTGCGAAACTTCGGGCACGAACGCAACAGAAATTTGATGACAAAATTACATAATACATGTCGTTCAAAAATTATTAAAATATCGTTCCTCTGCACTATTAGGATAGGAATTATGATAAACTAAATGTTAAGCTCCATTTACTGGGTTGATTTCGGTACGAACAAAAATACGAAATTGAGCCCGAAAATTCGGAATTTCATTTCATGGTAGACCACCAGGTCTTTATCAAACTTTGTAAATGTCACCATACCTATAATTATATATCTATCTATCACTATAACATGGTATTCGGTGATAATATATATAAATTACCAAAGTCACAAATTTTAACTCAGTGTTGCTAGGTGTTGGTAGGCATACGTACCAATTCTCTGAATTTGAATGCGTCTTAGGGTTATAAAAATGTATTATTTATTTCGGGTATCTACTTACCTGCTTAATTAAAAAACAATAGATGTGATTTATAGTTAAATTATTTGATAGGTATATATACCAATCTGGTCATAAATATTCAGTAGTAATAATAATAATAATCGATTTATTTCTCTTCACAATTCTATACACAGTATAACACAGTAAGTGGTAGGTATTTAAATTAATATATATTTTATACTTGACACAATACATAGCTGCCTATTTCCATTCAAATAACAGTGTAGTACACATGTAAATTATGTTCCATAAAAATACCGACTGTAATGGTGACAAAATCAGTTATATTGATTTAAAAAACTAAACTACTGAAGCGATTTTGTTAACATATCTATATTAGGATTATTTAAAAGTACGTAAGTAACCGATTACGGGTTGAAAAGATAACAATTATGTAGGTAAGTATTTTAAGTGTAGATAGCACATACAACACTACTTCAGTCGTTGGTCCTCATTTATCCTCGACTAGCGTTACAGAAAATGTTTGCAGCTACTTATTTCTGTATTCCTATGTGACATTTAACTTCTTACAATAGAAGATAAAATTATAATATTTAGAAATTTAGTCCGTTTGTCTGTCTGTCTGTATCTATTATATTCCGGCATCCGCAGAAACTACTGCATCAAATTGAGTGTGATATTCACTATCGTTTACCTGAAGGTCTACCTTTAAAACTGGTATATGTTTTATTTTGATATGACCGCAATGCCTGTAAAAGCGCTCTATTACATTAGGTAGTATTCACATTTCTGAAATATGCGCGTACGAAGTAGCGGACGAAAAGCTAGTAATACTTTTCTATTCAGTTGTACCACCTACACTGGCGTTGTACGTATCATCTGAAACTGAAACCTCTTCTAATATACGTTGTCACAATAGTAAACAATTTGTGTGAGTGTTTTAACGAAGCTAGTGACTAATTTAAATGAGACGGACTAAAAATTATTATGCAAATTATTACGAAGCGGTAGACGGTGGTGAGATGGTAAATGATGCAGGCACGAATTTCAGCAAAGAAACAAAGCTGAAAAAGTATTAACGACATTTCGAATTTAGCGACAAGGCAAGCAAGGAACGGACATTGTCAAATAATACAATATTTAAATTATGAATAAGAACATTCTAAAAGTAAATATGTAATTATAAAAAAGTAAATATGTAATAAAATATAAAGAATTTACATCGGCCGGACGTCAATATAAATAATAAATGAACACAAAAAACTTTTTTGTTATTTACGTATCTATATGTTCCTTTTGCACACTGTTATTTAATTAAGAATATGCCGTAATTATTTTATAAATACCAAATGATTATGCCAAATATATAAATATGTATTATTATATTTACATACTGAACGTTTATAACATGTAGGACAGACTGTTAGTTTTCGAAAACATTTTTTAGTTAATAAAAAAATATCCATTTACAATGTTATATTGGGATAAAATGCGGCGCTGCTGGCATTGAGTTAGCGTTGAACGCGTTTACACCAAACAGGAGCGCTAGGCACTTACTAGTAGGTACTTACCTATGCTAGCTATCCTTCGTAATTTATTTATTTTATATTTATTTATTTCATTATTATAATATCATTCCAAGCTCACAGGCGGTATCGAGCCCTTAGGTGTATGGCGAGACTGCCTCCCTTTGTGTGTTCTATCGCTTGTATAACGGATTGTGTTCTGAGGAATTATTAGAAATGATGCCTACAGCCACCTTTTATCATCGCGCCGCTCGCCAGCGACAAGGAATTCATCCTTACACCCTAGAACCTAAATGGTCACATACAGTGCGGTTTCAGAGAAATGTCTCTCGCGAACGCTCAGGACATGAAATGAGCTTCTTACCGAGGTTTTCCCTAGAGACTACAGTATGAGGTTTTTCAAAAAGGGTACATTAAGGTTTACAACAACCGTGATCGTTTACCATCAGACGGGCTGTATGCTTGTTTTCCACTATTGTGATATAAAAGGAAAAATGAGAACAGTAAAAACTAAATCAACGGTATAATCAGCAATTGGATATATGTATAAAGGCTAGCCTTACGTATATACAAAATTACTGTATCTATATTTAACCCGACTCCAGATATTTCCAAGTCGCTTCTCATATCTTTTGCAGGCCACTACTGAAAATATCCGATATGTTCACAATATTATTGAATGTGTGGACACTGTGTATACGAGTACGTATCACGCTAGCTTGGATCGCTATAGCTGTCTTACTGCGTTTACGCCATCCATATTAAGCACACTAGTTCCGTTGGACAGTACCTAGATATCTAGTGGAGGGACTAGTTCAGAATTTTATAAAAACCGGTTCTTCGTTTCCACTAGCTGCTTGGAATCAGAGGACCTACCATGAAAAGTTTTCTGAAATTTCGAGCCAGAACAAAAAAATTATGTAAAAATTACATAATACATTCCACTTAAAAATGTTAAAATATTGTTCCTTTGGACTTTTATTGTGGGATTTATAACGAACAAAATTTTAAGTTCCATTAACATCATATAAAAAAAATTGTAATCGTAATTATGTGTATTTATTTATTTGAAAATAGTAATTATAAAAAAAAAATATTATATAAAAAACGCATTCAGATTCGGTAGGTAGATTTTAATCGACCTTTCATTTAGGACCTGTAACTCATGCGGGAGAGTTCGCGGAACATTACGAATGCTTAGATCATTCCCGTTTTACTCAGTCTCAGGTACTTGTATTTATTTAGTCACATGAAAACCAACAGCATATTGCATTATGACATATATAACAATCATAATACAATATTGCACATGCGTGGTGAAGGTATTCACAGCATTCACTTTAACATAATTATACAGTATGAAAAGAAATAGAACAATTTTAAGGAATTGGATAAAAATACTCGTAGACTACAAATATTATAAACGTGAAAGTGAATCTGTTTGTTTGTTTCTTGCCTTATAGCGCTTTAACGGCTTAACCAATCACTTTAAAATTTTGCATACTCCTACGGTATGCGATGGAGAAGGATACAGGCTCCTTTTTTTTATCCCGATCAGTAAACACATCCCGGTC